TCAGATTACCAAAAGAAAGGAGATGAATTGTTCAACATCTAATAAAGAAGATGCAGATTTGGCAACATTTACTCTACTTCAAATTCATTAATTTCTAATCTTTCCTGGATTTGTAACTAATGAAGCCTAATATATGATCAAATGTCTAAAAAAAAGTGTCAATAAGGAGTAAAATGGTATAATATAATGATATTGGAGTATGGTTTAATATAATGATATTAGAGTATGGTATAATATAATGATATTGGAGTATGATATAATATAATGATATTGGAGTATGGTATAATATAATGATATTAGAGTATGGTATAATATAATGATATTGGAGTAAAATGGTATAATATAATGATATTGGAGTATGGTATAATATAATGATATTAGAGTATGGTATAATATAATGATATTGGAGTATGGTATAATATAATGATATTTGAGTATACTGGTATAATATAATGATATTGGAGTAAACTGGTATAATATAATGATATTGGAGTAAAATGGTATAATATAATGATATTGGAGTAAACTGGTATAATATAATGATATTGGAGTAAAATGGTATAATATAATGATATTGGAGTATCGTATAATATAATGATATTAGAGTATGGTATAATATAATGATATTGGAGTAAAATGGTATAATATAATGATATTGGAGTATGGTATAATATAATGATATTAGAGTATGGTATAATATAATGATATTGGAGTATGGTATAATATAATGATATTGGAGTAAACTGGTATAATATAATGATATTGGAGTAAACTGGTATAATATAATGATATTGGAGTAAAATGGTATAATATAATGATATTGGAGTATGGTATAATATAATAATATTAGAGTATGGTATAATATAATGATATTGGAGTAAAATGGTATAATATAATGATATTGGAGTAAAATGGTCAGGTAATCCAGGACTAAGCCTATTATAACTTGGTATATTATTAGATAGGATTATAGTTGAACTATACTTGATCAGATAGTTTATAACCTACAACCTAACTGATCTGAGTCACAACCCGGCATACATTCTTCAACAGAATAGAAATCAAAATGTTGCATTAAAGGGATTATAAAGAGGTTTTCCAGATTTTTTTTTATGTGTATCATGGAGACTGATAGCATTAATTTACACTATTCAAATTTTCCGTCAGCTGTTCATGGTTACTGCAATTCAACAAAAACTAAGTGTTTGATGATATCACTTTGCAATTTGTCATACCTACATCTGAAAGTACTTGATATTCAAAACCCTTATCAACTGAAAGCAACTGGGGGATGGATTCCAGTCAATTGATATATAGTTGGCCACAGCACACAACTCAAAATTCTAATTTGCTGTTGAATGTTTGTATTAAACTTTATATCAAAAATTAAATCCTGACATACGTTCATGCTTTGATTCTGCAGTTGACCTGAGGCCACCTTGAGACTCAAAAGGATCCAGTCACATATCAACCATGGAATCCAAGATCTCCTTTCCGAAATGGTTTTAAGTCCAATGAATTCTTTGCGTCCAGTTTTTGGTCAAAAATGCTTGAATTGTTCGATGTTCATTTATTATTAGAAACAACTAGTTTATCAAAGAAAGAGTTTGATTACACTCTGAGAAATGTACTAATGTAGGAAACCAATTTTCAGGCCAAAGTGAATACCATGGTAATGTGTGGTGAAAACTTATATAGTGAAGTCAGTACCTGACTAAGATGATATAGAATTACATACTATTCATTTGTACCAAAGAAAATGAACCTATAAATCATGAAAAACATTGAAAAGTTTTAAATTAGTTTCTTTCTATGACCTTAACAATGTTACAATAAACTCTAAACAAAATATGACATTCCTTAAGGTTAAGGGTGGGACTGATTTGTCCAATTTCAAACATACAAAGTCAAAGTCTCTTCTATGAAATCATTATCATGTATGTTGTGGGCACAAGTTCTTATCTCAGTCAACAGATTCAGTGTAACTGTCATCCAATTTTCAATGTCCAGATGCATAAATGTATTTATGTATGAAAAAAACAGGGAAAGCCATTTTTCTAGAGGCTTTACCAATCCATGCTCCTGTTCCTAAAGGGATTGTAAAGCGGTTTTCTAAAAAATTTATATGAATTGGATCGAAGACACTGATAGCATCGATTTGCACATCTGTGGTTCCTGTAATTACACTAAAACTAAGTGTTTTATGATGTCACTAAAGTCAAATTTGAGAGACGATTAGTGACGTCATAAAACATATAGTTTTAGTGGAATCGCAAGAAGCACAGACGTCTGATTGAAAATTGGAATAGTGCAAATTGATGCTATCAGTGTCTCCGATACACATAAAAAATTTAGAAAACCTGTTTACAATCTCTTTAAGAACAGGAAGATATGAAACATTGTAAAATAAGAGAAAATTTCTTTCTTTCTATAATCTTATATTGATTAACTGACTGTAGTTATGTAATAAATTAGATCTAGAAGTCATTTGCTTGGTTATGTAAAAAAAAATGGTATTCCTGGGTTCTAATCTCGGTTGGCACACAGTGAAAGCCCGATGCCCTTGAAAAAGTGATCTGTCCTCATAATTCCAGTCAACTCTGTTGAGATCAATGCCAAGCTGTTTGGCTGAGAACAAGCATGGGTAGAAAAGATCCTTGTTAAATTAAGAAATTGTCGTTTCTTTCTTTCTTTTTTCTGTTTAAAATGTCCTTATATATCGAGCCTCTAAGGACATTTTGACCATTTGTCAGATCGGCAAAACAGTCTCACCATTCAGAGTACTATCTTAATTTACCATAGACTAACTAGAGCAGAACCAAGGCAGGTCTAACCTAGAGTAAATAAAATCATTCAAGCAAATCTGACAATCATAACATTAGATCTGTCAAGCTACATTCACATATCAGTAGATCAAGCTTCGGGCCTTAAGGTGCTACAGGTTCGAGTCCTTATGGCTATTAAAACATTGAATAATTAGCTCTAGATTAGAGAGAAGAAAACAAAAGGACGAGTCAAAACAAATTTGCAATTTAAACTTCAAATTTTGATTGAAATTCTCATATAAACTGCCAAACTAAGAGCTCAGCATCACCCAATCACTACTATGACTACCAACAACTACCTAGTTTGCGATATTAGTATGCGCTGGAAGCAAACATTAACTTGTCATCTACCTACCTACATATTGAAACTTTCTAAACATGCATAAAGCTTTAGAAATGATTATAAATTACTAAAAACTTGTGAGTCAATCTTTCCCAATACATTTCATCCTCCCTGTTATTTTTGTAAAAAAACTGGACTTCCTTGACAAATATAATTTCAGTGAACACTGCTTCACTGATAAACCACTTCACTGCATATAAACATGAAGTGGTATAAAAAAAACAACACACTTTTTTATGGTAAACAATACACAAAATCAACACAGGATATCTTCATTTGGTTTGGCTGACATTTTTCGAATAAAAAAAATGACATTGATGCATGCTTAAACAGGTAACTAAGACATAATGACATCAGCACAAATTTTTGCTTAGATATGCAATTTGTAAAAATCCTAACAAGTGTGAACATTTAAAAAAAAAATAGCACTCATTAACTGTAACTTCACAATTTCAACAGAGGCCGTTTGTAATCGCTTGACATTGTGAAGATGATGCTATAGCATTGAAAAGATTTCTGTATCTCGAATGATGAAATTACAATACACCTCTGTAATCTAAAAAAGAAAACAAGAGAAACTGTGTACTGATAGAGACAAGATAGAAAGGAATGATGCTCTATTATCAGACATCTGTCCACCACATGTTAGTAGGTGGCTGTGGGATGCTAGACATGTTCTATGATATTTACAGAGGCATGACCAGATTAGTCTGGGGCATAATGGCACATGTCTGACATTCCTATACTAGCTTTATAGTATTTTTCTGTTACAAGTTTCATTCCAATTATATTTCTCATTCAATTAAGGTACATTACAAATAATATTTCTATTCTCTCCTTGCGAAAATAAGAATTTTTTTTAACAAATATGCTCCAAAACTAGAGACTTCATACCTCCAGAGGTTTGGACTGTTGAGTAATTATTTTGTATGGTAATAGAATACATTCCTAAAAAATGAGCAAACAGATGCAGGGGCCCTCGGATTCCCCCCTTTCCTGTTTTTTATTAAAGGCCATTGTTGAATAAAAGGCATACTAATGTTTAGTGCAATATAATCTTCAAGTTCATTATGAAATAAATATTGTCAATTTTCTCACATACAAGTTGATACAGTGTGATTTTTAGATGCAAAAAGCTTTCAAAATATATTTTACACCTCCATGTTGTATTCTTTATTTAGTACAATAATGTATGACAACATAAAACATTGTATCATTTCTTCATATCATTGTAAAGATATAAAGAATACAATAACCCCTTAATATAGCATTGTTTTATTAAAGATCTTTTATGAACATTGATATTGTGTGATATCAGAATATCAATATCAGAGTTATATTCTCTCAATGTAATTATGGCCTTCAGTATGAGTTTAATAAATGGTTTTCTAATAGCTGACCAAAGTTTAAAGTTATATGAGTCAATATCTGCCCTATCAAAACAACCCAAAACCTCATTATACAAGGTGTTAAGAGTGATACTCCAGTTATAAAAAGTCAATGTGTTCTATTGTATATATCTAATCTTATAACTGACCTATCAATAACTAATGTTTATTACCTGGACTTAGGGATGACCCTACTTGTAGATTAATATTACATAATGATTTGAGTAATCATATCTCACTCACATTTATAAGTTTGTTTATTATGGGGGCAGTTAGGGTCTTGTGCATGTCATGTTTGATCCAACAAATTTAATATTCCTTGGCACATAATATTGATACCAATTCAAACATTCATGTAAATAAGAACACCTGATAGCACTCTGTCACAAATTAGAGCTACACAATAAAAATGCTTCTGTCACCAATTCTGATATATCAAAGCACTGGTTGGTCTATACATTTGAACCTACCTTTTTGGAGAGTTTTAATCATCACTGGGGCACCATTTTGACTGACTTGTTTTAACCAAAGGGTAGCATCTCTGAACGTATATCCAGATATTTTCTGACCCTGTATTTCCAAAAGTGTATCATCTGTGTACAGTTTTTGACCATGATAAGAAATGGAGTCATGATCTACATCACCCACAAGACAAAACAACCCATTATCAGCCCCTCCATCTATAACAATATTCAAATTTTCTCCATGAGCAGATGACACTATAGTTTCTATTATTTGTGAACTCCAATGTCGTGGTCCATTTCTGGGTTTCAAGGGTGGACCCTTTGGTGGGGGCAGTTGTTGTTTGTTTCTCATCATTTTGAAACAAAAGTAATCACATTTTCACTGCTAAATATTCCAAAGTAATAACCATACTCCATGAATCATCGCTGATTCAAGTTTTCCAAACATTTTATGAGTTGACCGACACAAGTAAACTTCAATATTTTGTCCCCTTCAAATTTAGGTCACAGGTACCCTGTTGAATATTGTGAACCTTCAGTTATCTAGACAACAAAATAATCCTCAAAACATCAATTTTGTACAAGAATATACTCCAAATAGATGGACATTAGCGATATATTTCGCAAACACGTGGGCAAAACAGAAATATCACCATCAGAATGTTAAGAAACATAAAATTTACTTTCAAATAACTCCATTAGTTTGTATCGCATTGCGCATGTGTGCCATGAAACCGACACTATTGGATTATTTTACGCTTGAGTCTTCATCCAGTCTTTTACATTCGAAGTCAATTGTTAAAAAGGCCTAACAATCACGACTCAAAATGTTTTGACCAGTCATTTTACTCCTCTCATATATCAATGACGAAATGACATGACAATCGAGTCCATATTACAAGACTACTTTGATCCAAGCCCGGTCAGGTTGCAATCAAACTCTGTCCTCAATTATACCGGCGATGATAATTCAAGAAAGGTTAATGATCCCAGACCATTGTGAACAAATGTATAACAATTAGGCTAATAAATGTCCATTTGTCTTAGTTCAGCTATTAAAAATGCCCAAGACCCCCTCCCCTTTCTCCATATGAATTTTACCGGGGCTAGGGTAGAACCTTGTGTTTAATGCAAAAAAAGGTTTTCGAGTTATTAGGCTAAAGCTATAGTGACCGTCAGGCTTGATTGGTAGCCAAACATCAAAATGCCTGACGGAATTATTCCTATAAATTTCAGTCTTTGTATTTTCCCAGGAATGTGAAGCAGGATCGAACATCTGGAGTGATGTCACTAAAGTGTCAAATGTCATGTCGGAATCCAAGAGACAAAGAAATTACTTTTTTAATTAAAAATTTGCCTTGTTTCTTTAGAGATTATTAAAGGAAATATTTTGTGTAATGAAGCTCCTTGGGCAGATTAAATGAGTCGCAAAAACAATTCCTAGGGTGACGTTTTGAAATACAATTGCACTTGCACAAGTTTAAATATAGGGGTATGGAGAGAGAGAAATTTTGGCTCCACGAAAGCCATGGCCGTAAATCAGAAATGGGAGCTCTCTTAATAAGAGACATCTTTAAAATATCTAAAGTTCAAGTAGGCTATAGTTCTACCCATTGGCGGATTATTTATTAATATTCTGAAGTTTAGTGAAACATCATATAGATATTCCTTACTTTAGTTGTGGAATATGACCTTCTCTAAATTTCCTTCAAATTATCCCCTTGGATACTGGATTGTTTTTAAAAAATTTAAATTGAGATTGTGTAAGAAATATGTCTGTTTCCCAAAGGCTAATAACATACATTTTTAATACTAATGTGAAGTGAATTTTTGTTTTTGCATTAATGCCAATAAAGGGATTAATACTTGTATGAAATCTAAAAGTTATAATCAATAGGTTGATTAAGAAGGGGTTACAGTATAGATGACAGGTTAACGTCCGCTTACAGTTAACTGATATCGCAAACTAGAGAGTTGTTGTTAGGGGCCTAATCGTGGTAGTTGGATCTGGATTAAGGTGTGAATAGACGATGTACTGCGTCCGGTGTGGTGTGCGGTGCGGATTAACATATTAAGCGAATCGTGTCTGCACGATGTCCGGACCCGTACGTCGTTTGTTCACTTCTACTATTTTCTACTGTATCGATAATCCCGCATCGTACCCCGCACCAGACACCGTCTATTCGCAGGTTTAACCAAATGGCTCGGTACAGGTCCACTGTTGGTTTGGTAGTTTAAAATATAATAAAGCTTAACATAGAAAGGATAGGGATTCTTTGACCATTCCATGTCGCCATGTGGGGCGTTAAATGATCGTGACATCCTGTGAAATGAGACACTCGACTAACAGATAAACTAAGTGGAAGACAATACTCTATAATTGATAAAAAAGAGAAAGTTAATTAATTTCTATCAGTCATTAATCTAATTAGTAGAAAATTAACTGGGCGTGAAACGAAGATGACTTGGAATGAGTCCAAATGGTTTGTTTGATTTCTTTTTATATATGAAGAATGCTTTTGGTAAACTGGCTGTCATAGATTCATAAAGAGAAAATTATTTGGTTTTATGACAATAAAGTTTGTAGTTCAATTCTTATTCAATATCAAGTCAGGGGAGATAACAATAGATAAAATATTACAGACTACAAAGTAGGTGAATATAATACAGCAGTATTAACCACGGCTCAAAGTTTGGTGTGGTTGAACGATTTATTAGGGTTTTTTTTTTAAAGATAAAAGAGTTTAAAGCATTAAAATACTACTAAATTAGTTTAAAAGCTAAGAGGCTTTAAAAAGTCTCGCCATTATCTTTCATATTATCAACCATAAAATCTGAAGTTTCTAACAGAATAAGCACAATAGTCCAATGGTTGCAGACTACATAGTATTTAAACAGGGATTCTAAGTCTGTTGAATCTTTAGTGTGATGTTCATGAAATAAATAATGTAATGTGCAGGCTTTGGGACTTTTATTGAAACCAATTTGATAGCCACCGTCAAGATAGAGACCTGGTATGGTATATACATATACATACGTAGCCTGGGTTAAAATATCACACAAAAGTGCTAGATACCCAGACCCACACATTTATTACAGCTAAGAACATCTAAGCATACATATTGTGTTGTTTTACATAATTTTCAAAAGCCATCATAGGATCTTTATAAAAATTGATGAAATCTGTCTCTGCCGGATGACCATGGTATGGAGTAAATATCTTACAATTCGTGCCACATTGGTTTGTCCAAGTGTTGATATAGGCGATTCTTTTCACGGCATCGTTGGCCTGGACACCAATTCCTTTCAGAGGGTTCAGAACATTCGAAATCCAAAAATTGTAATAGGACTTTTCATTTAGATGGTTATTCGGTGCCCCTATTTCTGTTAGGGCGGGAATTTTGCCTGTACGATCAGCCATTTTGACTAGTCCAGCAACAGTATCCACAAAGTTTTGTAAGGTTGAAGATTGCAAGACCAATGAGTAATCGTCAAGTCCGAGAATGTCCACATAATCGTCACCGGGATAGGCGGCCATATAGGATTTCTGAGAGGATCCATCCTGCATCATGCTTTTATATCCAGAGTTCGGACTAAAGGCATAGAGAAAATTGTGAACATGCTTTGTGTCACGCAGGTATTTGACTGTATATCGATAGATGTCTTTAAGGTCTTGGGGCGTGTTCCCTATAGAATTGCCAAGACCCCACCAAAACCATTTACCATTCGATTCATGAAAAGGTCTGAAAATTATTGGAATATGCTGTCCTTTAGAGTCTTTGAGTTCATTTGCCCAGTTGGCAATTTTATCCAACATGGCCATATAATGATGTTGATGACGTCCTCCAGGGAGCATCTCCTTCACCATTCTGTTCTCAGATCCCCAATGCCAAGGATCCCCACCATCTGCAAAGTTATGCATATGCCATGACATCGCCACTACCATTCCACGACTGTAAGATTTCTTCACCAAGTGAGTTACAATTTCCATCCAATTTGATTCAAATTGGTAAAAATCGTAACCAGTAAAGGCTGGAAATTCGCCTGTCATCTGCTTGATATCACAGAGTTCACCATCAAGTTTTTTCTGTGCCATATCTATCTGAAGAGAAACACGAAATCGAGAAATTGCTCCTAAAAAGTAAAGTATACAAAGCCAGTTTTACATAGAGACTTGTGTAAGTATAATCATAGCGTTTTTGTCACCTCATTGGTCTAATCCAATATGAATTATAAATACCAGCTTCATAAACCAAACATAATAGTTCCCCAAATGTATTTGTGGAACCCTCATGATTGCGCGTTGCACTTATCCCATTCAAAACGTATCATGACGTATCGGGTTCGGTAAATGATTTATTTTGGGTTTTACAGATAACTCCGACTTGACTTATCATGTGAAATCACGTATCACCGAATGAGTTTGGGAAATATGAAACCAAGTACTCACCGAAAACTCCCAACCAACGAATTGACCATCATGATTATGTGTTTTGTAAGGTGTATGTCCGCCTCCAGCCCCGGCGTAGTTTGCTTTATGTTGACCAAACAGTATTTTGGTAGGGTCTGCTGCAATCTTCTTTAAATTATTGAAGAGATTTTTAGTAAGTTGAGTGGCATATTGGTCTGACGGTCCAGCCACTACAGTGTAGGTTAACAACAGAAAATAGGAGACCTGGAATAGATATTTAGCGATGAGCAAAATAATGTCATAAAAAGTGATATTTACACATAAATTTTCCATTACCTACATTTTTCCAAAAATTGTTTCGTAATGCACCATCCAGTTTTATAACTGTTAAACACAGTCCAACTTGTTCAAACGATCACTTGTGTTCAAGCTGATACAAGTATTGGCTTCGGTTTATCACATTTCAATCATGATCTGTGTAAATGCCAAGTACAATTACTGTCGAGGTTGAATAAAAATGTGGCAGCTCTGTGAAAGCGCCTTGGTCGCAAGCCTCCTAGGAGAGAGGGTTCCCCGAAGAAACTTTCAGAATTGATTGGTTTTGTACATTCTGACACATATTTTGGGGTAAAATGAAGTGCGAATTCCCCCTGTAGCCCTGCTGATACCGTTACTACTTTCATTTGTGATTTCCTTACCTTAATAAGCAAGCTCATTTGTTACGTGTATAGGTAATGTATAAAATAATATAAAAAGAATCAGTCTATTTGTGAAAGTCACACCTGGTAGAAAGAGTTGATAAGTAGAATTTAAAGTCATCGTAACTTCACTGATAAGTCATGGTACCATACAAATATCTCTTTGTTGTGGTTTTCAAAGTCGTAACTAAGTCTTATTATCGTTTAGAACTACAGGGCAAGGCGAGATCTACTGAAACAGAAACCATGGTGGATACCGTTAGTGAAGCAGGAACTAGACTTCTAGAAACTTATGGCATCTGGAAGAATCTGATCAATCGCTGGATTTAGTCAAACTGTGCACAGCGACAATACAATAAGCTGTCCAAGATCTACCTTGAGCAATCTGACTCTGCAAACGTCTTGTTTCCTGAAGTTTGCGTCGACTTTGACGGATCTTATTATAAAAATTAGAATTGCCAGTCGAATATTCGATGGTTCAAAGGTTTTTTCTTCAAGACGAATTTCAAATTTTAAAGTTTATTCCACTAAATATCAGCAATAATAAAATGTATTAATGTTTTAGTTTAAACAAGAAAAATGTTTTTCTATGTTATCTGCTAACTCCACCATTATCACCTGACACTGAAATATTAATAAAAATAAAATGATGAGTTTATAGGATATCTCAATAGATAAATGGGTATTCTGTTAGTCTGGTGCCAAGCCTTATCCTATATAAGTTATACATTATTTATTTCAAAAATGTTGCTTCGTATTGCGCGATATGCGGTCTATTTATTTTTTTCTTGTTTATTTGTATGTTTTTCTTGATTGTTTGTTTGTTTGTTTTATTTTGTTTTTATGGATGGGGTGGGGGACTCAACCTACAGTGTTCCAATGTAAAAATTTTGACCCTTAAAATATGAATATTTTACTGTCACTAATAACTATAGTACCTTCTACACTGAAAAAAACATCGCCCACTCAATAATTCAAATATATGTTCATTCAAAATAAAAAAAAAAAACAATTAATAACAACTGAAAAAAAAAACAACAGTTGCATGAACTAAATAGGAAATACTCAATAAAAATCATGCAGTAAATACACTTTAGGAATAAAATAACATATACAAACCATATCGTTATTATGGATGTCATAGAAAAAGTAATATTTTACTCACCTTATATAACATAATTTGAAATTTTATGATAAATTATCAAACACAGTGGGAATCAAACATAACATGAACAAAATCAATGAAAAAAAAGAAACAAAACATTAAATATGAAAGTATATTGCAATATATTTCTATAGTACATGGACGCAATTATTGCGTTTTTAGTAATGTTCATTCCACCCATTTGATTTTTTTTCGCTTATGGTTACTGTTGGAATTTAAACAAGTGAACCTTTTCGGTAAAGAATTAGGATAAGTCATATCTGAAACAAGAACTTTTTCATTCATTACAATTTAAGAGTAAAACTGATACTTACAGCAATATAAAGTTTATCACAATATCTTCTGTAAATTTCGGGATCCTCTTTTAAAATATATATAATCTCAGTCAGCGTTGGACGACGGGTGGCTGCACTGTGGTGTTTCTCTGTAACATGTACCTTACTTCCTTTACTACCATGTTTCTAGATGGAAAAAATCAGAATACTTCGTAATAAAATTCAAAAGAATCTGTTTACGTTATAAAGTCATTATCTATTAACTAAATATCGCTTTTTTTAAAATTAACCACAGAGGCTATTGGTTATAATGAATTCATATAAATGGAATGGTTCAAAAACTAGCAGTAGATTCGATTGTATTTACATGTAATTAATATTATAGCTCTTAATCTAAAAGCATAAAAGGTACATCTTAAACAATGAACCTGTCTCTGAGCACTTTTTGGTTATCATATAAATATCTTCAACTTTACCTCATTTCTACTAGGACTTGATCCTTTCTTTTCTTTTCCTTCTTTTGCTGATTTCTTTACTGTCGGTTCATTTACATTTTCTGACAATAAAATAATTAGGATTAGCTTCCAAAGTTTTTCAATTGCTTGTGCAATACTAGTTACCTTACGCATATAATTCATTTGTATGTTTTTATTGTCAAGATTTTATTTCCAAAATATTTTGGTCATATACAGAGTTTGAAAACTATTTTTGAAAGAACTTTATCATACCTTTACATTGTATAACCTTTTCAATTTTAACACCATACATCTCCTTCAACTTCTGACTAACATCAACAAATTTATCAACAGAATTGCTCAACATTCCACGACTGAAATACAAGTGTAAATTAAATGATTCACAGAAATTACAATAGAATCTATTTAATAAACAGGTTGATTTGTACATATCTGTAAATAATTTGATACTAATATATAAAATGCCCTGTAGGGCTGTAGCTGTTTAAGCGATGATATGATTGCACCTTAATACTTTCAATTAGTGGCGGATTTGGACTTCTTGGCCTGTAGGCAAACAAACGACAGAGGGCCTAATTTTTCATTTTAGCGGGAGGGCATGGTGTAATTACAATTTTATGGCAGGAAGTCTACGATCTTTTTTTTTCAGGAACAGATCAGTCAGCTTATCAGCATCAATCGTATGCACGGTATCGGAATTCATTACCGTTAGGTTCAAACAATTTAGTCGACTCTCACACGTCAAGCTGTTTGATAATTATTACTGTAACGAAAGGCAGCTGCCTAGTTTGCTTATAGGTTAATCTGCCTCTGATTTCAATCTTAGACTCACTACAGATAGAAGCAAAGATGGCACCCACTGAACGAGTAAACGAGACTATGAAATTAGTTGTAACAGATGGTATATTTTTCAAAGATGATAATCCAGTACCGTAGGAGTAAGGACGAGAACCAACATCATTATGAACATATGATACGGTAAGTTTATTGAAATTAAGTTAAATTCTGCACAATCAAAGTCCTATTTTAAGGCCTCAACTTACCATATCTCAGATTTACGATCTAATGATGGTATGAAGGAAGGGAATGATAATTTACTAATTATTGTATTTAGTTCCTTTAATAGCGATTCCTGTCCTAATTCTAAGACAATAGGATTATCGGGATCATCTTCATTCAACAAATCATCTACCATCTCCTTTCTTCTGATTAACTTCAAAATATAAAAAGCACTTTATTTATTACCACAAACTATTGGTCTAGAAAACACAATCTCATTGTTATGGATAACTTTTGTCCAAACTGTCAAATCATGTTGCTTATAATAATACAATTTCGTGGTTAATGACAAATTTAGTAACATTTATCCAAAATTCAAAATTAGGACTAACGTGAAAATCATAAGATGAGGCAAAGAATGTATTTTTTTTTCAATGAAACGTCATTATCGATGTATAAATATATAGCAGTCAACCTCACTGCATGCATACTTCCATCAGTTATTGTTGAAAAACTGTCTGAAAATCAACGATTTTGTCTTGACTGGACAAATTAAATATCATCATTAAATGTTTTACAATACTGGCCAGGTACAGAAATGATAACAAGTTAAATGAAATATGGAACAAGAACTTTAACTGCTTTGGATCTAAAAAGCGGATATTAGCAAGTACAGTATTACTAAAATCTACTTACTTTATTTAATCTTTTTATTGAAATATTATATGTAGTAAATCTGTGAGATGAGTCAACAATATTAGCTAATTGAAGTATATCATGGACATTGACACTGTTGTATGGCAACTGAAAGAAATCAAATTACATGTACAATTATTAATAATTTCAACAACTATGTTTTACAAGGATAACAACTTGGTTCACAAAGGATCCTTTCTACCAACCGGTCCTTGGCCAAACCTCTTTTCATTGATCTTTCTATTATTATCCCTACCTATTTACAGCTGAAATGACTGGAATTATGAGTGATGATGACTTATTCAAGATAATTGATACATTTATGTGCATAAATGAGGAGGACAATTTTTGCTGTGATAGGAAAGTGCGTATCGAAACTATGACAACACGTGGGGAACATTTTCTCCCTCTGTAGTTAATAAGAGTAATAATTACATACCCTGTTTTTATATTGAAACAAATCTGATCCTGTAGGTGGTATATTACGATCAGTATACAAATCACTTGGTGTACAGACACGTTCTAAAATACTTTCAATAGTAAACTTGATGGCCGTTTCTTTCATCTTTTCTGATAGGTGTTCCTGATATAAGATTAACACCATTAATACATACATGTCAAAAACAGTGCATTATTACATAGGAAAATGGTTTATAGATTTTCATTCTAAAAAAATCATTTCTAATTAAACTTTGGTGTTCTCTGCAAATAGTTTAGTTTGGCTGATGATAGTGGGAAGACTGGGGACCTACATAACGAACTCAAACGGTTCAAGACAAGACCACAGAGCAATATTACCAATATATCATTTAAGTTCTGATTGATGAACATTTGTAGCTTAAATATCAAGCAAAGGACTTACGTCAACGGACTTTCGATTGTAAATATCAACATCTTCAGTTGTAGCCAGACCCCACAATGTTAGTATTATTTCTCCCTGTCCACAAAGATTTGGTTTGGTAAACAATGTCCATTGTTCAGAGAAAGAACCAGCCGTGGGACTTTTAAACATACACGGGATTGTTTTTCTCTCTCCCTGAACTAAAGTGCCTGAAATATGAGTGAATAAATGAATATTAACAGATGAACATTAAAGGGCAATTTCCCAAATAGGTGTTTGATAACGCCAGTAATCGCGAAATAGGCTTTATTACATATGGTCCATCTGATAAGTGATGTCATTAAACACTCAGTTCTAATGGAATTGCAGGAACCATTAACGTCTGATTGAAAATTTGAATGGTGCAAATTGATGCTATCAGTGCTTCCGATACACATACACAATTTTGTAAACATCATTACATGGTCTTGAAGGTACGCAGTCAAATACTTTTCGCACCTCTTTATGCATATAAGATAACATGACAACTTCCTTTTATAACTGGATGGAATTGACATCTCAGATCTCAAATACGAGTCAAAGAACTCCCCCCCTTCTACAGCATAAACTTAAAAAGATTTGGACAAAAACTAAAAGAATTTCAGAACAGGTAGTTATTTAAGTTTAGTTTGTCACTGAGTATTTAATATTTTATGTGGCCTCCACCTGCCTGTCTGTGCCACAGCTTGCAATCTGGAATCAGGATATGAAACTCCTTTAATGTTGTAAATGTTGGTAACCAGTTTCATTTTCAAAATATTTGATTTTATCTTTTATTGAATGACAGAATAAATCTTAAATTACCTGTATGATCATTGAAGTAAAAACTTTCTTTTGATGGTCTGAGGATTCCAAATGGTCTTTCCTTATCTCTTTTCTGAAAATACAGAATAAAGTATAAGATCATTGTGGCAAGTGTAAACAACCTGCTGAAAAAATATGAAAGGAAACATCAGAATATATATTTTGATAGATTGATGGACTTTTCAATGTAAAAGTTTTTTTCCACATGTCACAAAAATTTCATTTTCAGCTAGCCGTATGACTTTTCAGAATGAAAATATGACATTGGAATTGAATACAAACGCCCCAGTAATTTCTCAGTGGGTTTAACATTGCCTGTTTATAGCGCAAATATCTTAGATAACGACACAAAGTATACAATATCTACATAAAAACTTCAGTTACCTGCCATTCGTAGTATAAAACAGTAGAACCACAATTAACCAAGGTAACATTGAAAGAGATGATGTTGTTGATTGGTCCAATTTCTCCAGCTTCTGCATGAACAGTACCACCGTTTATATTCTTAGGATACCATTTAGCCGCTTGACCACATAATCTAATCCTTGGGCCGTAATTATAAGCTCCAGTTATTGTGATTACTGGCCTAAATTATTTACAAATAAATTGTCTTAATGAAATGAAATCGATACACTGTATTGTTGAAAGGGGCAGATTCGCCGATTTCGGATGTTGATTTAGGTCTTGAATATAAATATGTAGGTCTTGAATATATGTAAATATTCGTCAGAAATACTACAAAATTATGTCCTTCAAAAATACCCCAAACTCAAGAAAAGACGTGTCGTAATTATATATTTCAAACGCGCAGAATTCTGGACACACATTGATTTGAAGGCCCAAATTTCAACGGTGAACTGTGCACATTAGATTAGCTAAGCTAAAAAAAAAGTTCGTTTCTGAGACTTTATAAGGTACGATTGGTCAAACAGAATTATGACGAATCTCTCCATTATATGACGGATAAAAAGAAAAAAAAATATCACAGTACATGACATACAAATACCCACATTTTACAACGAGAATCTTCGTCAGTTGATGAGAATGATTTCCAAGTACCATCAGGGTTAACATACAACTGTTTATTCCAAAAATCTATTTCTCTTGGTGTAATGACAGTAACTTTTTCCTCGTCTTCCAATAGATTCTCCCATCCTGGAGACACACAAATGCTGCCACCTTGGGCTGTTCCTTTCATATACAGTTTGGTTGTATCCTAGAATGGTATTAAAACCCCAAATCAGAATCGGCAGTGGACTTTAATTTGAATAATCAAAATCCCTGATTTCTTAACACTTGGGACACAAATATATACAGTCAGTGAACATAGGACCGCACAGGTCTGAATTTTCATGAGATTGGGTAGCTGTTGAACACTGATCTTTTGGATTTCAAGAACATTAACATGGTGAAAAATCAATATAAATATGTTTAAATACATAGGTGCCAAAGTTATCTCTATTTCATTACTATTACTAATAACTATTCAGTTTTATTTTAACTATGGTACACTTTACTTACAGGAGTAGAGTAAACTGTTGGGATTTTCGTTTTTGCGCCCATTACTGAAACAGTGAAATAAAACATAAATGTAATTTCAGTCAAGTAATATTGATAATAATAATCAAGATAAACACTTTTAGAATCTAATTTTTTTTACCTCTTTCTTGAACAGTACATATTGGGAAGCCGATCAATTGTGGAGATTTTGGCCAACCCTGTTCAGCTTGGGTTAGAGTATAACTAGAGAAAAGAGAGACATAAAGAGTTAAACGCTAATGGGATTAATCGATAAAAGACCAAAAAATTGTAAACAGAGGAAAGGATTAGCTACAAGCACGAGTTACTTACTCGTTATTGGCAAGCGACTTCACCAAAAGCCATATCACGGACTCAAAAACCTTATTGGTTATCCAGAGACATGCTGTAGCAAGACGTGTTCTTTGATTTTAGGATTAGTACCGTATATTTGCGTGTGTAATGCGCAGTGTTTTACTCTAAAAAGATCGTGCAAAACTGGGGATGCGCATTATATACAGGTACTGAAAGTGATTTTAGTATACAATAAGACGTATAACTTACTGACATCCACCTATTTCTTGGCTTAGAAACGAGGACAATTTCCAGAATCCTGTAGATCTTGTATCTGAAAAGGAACAAACAGACGGCCACTGAATGGTAAGCTATGTGATGAAACCGTAAATTTCAACCTGAGAAAATTTCAAGTATATTGCTTCGTTAATATAATGATGCTATAATTTACAGAATACGACGAAGGCACAAGATATATATTGTCTGTATAGAATAAATATGACATTCGAAGACCCAACTCTACCTTTCTTTTCTGTATCCCAAAAATTGTGTTTATCATTATTTACCATGACGTTTTTATCGACCTTCAGTTGTCTAAAATCATCACTCATCACTAAATATCTTTCCTCTCGTTTGGTAGACTCTAATAGAACAAACTTTTCATAAAATTTGATGGGTCAGGCTTTTATTTAATAGTTCCATATTGGAATTTAAGCTTTGAAGAAATACATAATCCATAAGCGGCATGTAATCAGTTTTAGCATCAGATTTGTCAATCTCCATTAACATCTCCAAGTTTAATTGTCCATAAATCTATAGCCAGTTACGATTGCGTGTGAATTAAGACTTTCATTGAATTGTAATATAACAATATGTCCACTCTTACTCATAAACAAGAAATTCGTATTTGCAAAATCACGAAATCCACATCTATGTGCCTAACTTTGACTTCCATCTCCCGGTTATTGGCAGGTGGAATAAATGTATTTTAATTCATATGTCTTAAAACAGAGAAATTCTAATGCTACGTCTATGAATATCATAATATCATAATAAAAACCTGAAAAAGCAAAAGTTTAATTTGAAATTTTATGTTAGATTTACTTTGAGTAGCAAGCGGTGAGTCTTTAAATTTACAAACCTGCTAGTCGTTTTCTTATGATTTTTCTTTCCACAAGAGTCTCCTCGTGAAACAGTAAAGCTCTCTTTTCATCAACATGAGCCCAATATGCTGATTGTGGTATTTGACTGGTAGCTGACCCGGATAATTCACTTGATTCTCTATCGTCACATAATATATCTTCTTCATCCTGAAAGTCCACATTTAAACAATCGGTGCAGGGTTTAAAATATTCAAGTATAAACCTAAACTACTAAAGAGTTAAGACTGAATTTATGATTTTAAGAGATGGGTAAAATGTATAATCGTACAATCGTATAATAAATTGTTATGCGTTCGTGAATTTGCAATAGTGTCTGAACCAATCAGTAGAATCATTTAATTGCTTACGAATATTAAACATATCAAGTGTTTAAGTCAATACCTTGTATTTGACATATAGTCCACTAACCTCTGGAATGAGTTGTCCCTTCTTGCTACTCTGTTTGAAAAACTCCTCCTCCGTACCCAGTATACAATATGGGACAATATGACCATCTTTGTCAAATTTGATACAAGGGTTACCTGAAAAAACTAAGAACATATCATAGTATCATTAGCATCTTAGATTAGCATCAACAAATTTCCAGTCAATCTGTTTTTCCCACTTCTTTACGACATTTACTTTTTTTTTACAAAAATCAAATGAAGAAAAACAATTCCATGGATTTAAGAATAACGCCTAAAATATTTCATGCTAACGCTGGGGCACTATGTTTTTGTGGCAGTGGAATAGCTCAGTCGGTTGCAAGTTGGATGGTTCATAGGTTCCAATCCTCCCCAAGGCAAGTAGTATTCTGATGTCTGTGCCATTGCTTCCTAGAGTCGGCCCGGTGTCGGATTTCACCTCTAATTCCTACCAAACAGAAGAAAAGTTTCCTGGTGGCACAATATTAAATTCGTTAATCAGCTGCCTTGACTTACTCTGTCCTATATATGGTTTACACGGAGCACTTTTCTCAGCTGGATACGAAACCACAACTTCTCGTCTGTATCATAAAAAAGATATACATAAGATGTACTGGCTTCAAAGTAAATTAAATTGTAAAAATCAGCGGACACTATTCCCGTGTTTGGAGCAAGGCCATTATTTTATTCCTCACATAATTCGGTTCTCAGTAGTGTAGACCTTATCGTTGATTACTTATGTTTGGCATTGCAAATGAATAACTTATTGACTTCCCATATAACTTAATTGAAATAAAAAAAAAATTTATTTCTTACTTTTTGGGTTTGAATTTTTTGATGGAATATTTAGTCACTTTTTTCTTCGGTTTTTGTTTCACCAAAATTCCCTTCTGAAATAAACACAAGGAAAAACTGGATAGCAACAAGAAGTTATTCAACATTATTTCATTCTTTCTTTATTCATTTATTTCTTTATTTATCGTTCCAAATTCGTCATGGTGTCGACGTTTTGTTTGACATTTGGTATCAATATTCCATGAAAGGTGTTGGTTAAAAATGAAATAATAGAATGATATATAAAGCCATTATATGTATACTTGCTCTAATCGTTACCTGCCATGGATTTCGTAAAATGCTCAGTTTAGCTATTTCTTCATTCCAGAGGACGGCTGGTTTAGGGGGAGGACAGATGTCCTGCAAGCTGGACACGCTCTTCTCTGATCCTTTCTTCTTTTTGTTGTTCTTTTCTGTAATGTATCATAATATCATTATTGGATGAAAGAGGACGAACCTGCATCGCCGTGAGTACCTGGAGTTTAAGATATTGTTGCTTGATCAATTTATAGTTAACCATTTTCCAAAAATGGGTAATATTCTGTATTTACAAGGTCGTTATATAGTGTCGCTGACCATTCTCTAATTTCTTCTGATGTATGAAATTTTTTAAACCATGACAACATTATCTTATAAGCTTGTTTCACTTTCATTTGGACCGGTGGAATGCTCGAAAATTGCTATTTCTCAAATTTATTCTGCAAGTGATACTTACTATCATTATCAACATGTACACAACTACTACTAGAAGATCTGACAACTGACTTCTTACGACCACCTGTACCGCCACCACCACCAGTCAACAAAGCACCGAGCTGACCTAAAGTTACTTTCTTTCCCTTCTGAGGAATCATCTTTTTCTATGGGATTTTACTTCTGATCGCTCCGTCTTTTTCTGAAATCTTAAGTATTCGCACTGGACAAGGTGCCAATCTACGGAGAAGAACTTCAGAAACAGTAAGAGAACAACTAAAGACTGCCTGCCGACAACAGTATTACGTCATAATTGAATTTTGTATTGTTTCAATTTAACGTCTGAGGGTTGGACTACCTTGTTACTGTGTACTTTTTGTGCCGGATCACGAGAATCATTCTTCATTTTTTTTCTATAATTCTACATTTGGGGAGGTAAAGTGGCAAATGATATCACGTAACGGCCAATATTACAATCTCTAGAAATACAGTGGTGACAATAAGAAATCTATATATATACGATGGTGACAGTAAGAAATATTAAAATCTCTATGCGTTTGGAAACAATAGGAAATGTTGAAATCACACTAATTAAAATCTCCAGAGATACGGGGGTGACAATAAGAAATATTAAAATCTCCAGAGATACGGATGTGACAATAAGAAATATTAAAATCTCCAGAGATACGGGGGTGACAATAAGAAATATTAAAATCTCCAGAGATACGGGGGTGACAATAAGAAATATTAAAATCTTCAGAGATACGGGGGTGACAATAAGAAATATTAAAATCTCCAGAGATACGGGGGTGACAATAAAAAATATTAAAGTATCCAGCGATACGGGAGTGACAATGAGGAATATTAAAATCTCCAGAGATACGGGGGTGACAATAAGAAATATTAAAATCTCCAGAGATACGGGGGTGACAATAAGAAATATTAAAATCTCCAGAGATACGGTGGTGACAATGAGAAATTTTAAAATCTCCAGAGATACGGGGGTGACAATAAAAAATATTAAAATCTCCAGAGATATACGGTGGTGACAATAAGAAATTTTAAAATCTCCAGATACGGTGGTGACAATAAGAAATTTTAAAATTTCCAGAGATACGGGGGTGACAATAAGAAATATTAAAATCTCCAGAGATACGGTGGTGACAATAAGAAATATTAAACTATCCAGAGATACGATGGTGACAATAAGAAATGGCAGAATCTCCAGAGAAAGAGTGGTGACTCTGGTTCCAGCTCCTATTATATTGTGTAGACTGTTTGAGATTCGGAGAGCTTTATTTATAAATTTTGTGGAACCATGATTGGTAATTATTTGAATTCCAAAGAAAAGGGATCACATATGCCAAGGGTCGCTTTACAAGCATATCTATTGCTATGTTTTATGGTGAGGGACTTTATCATTGTTATGATAGCCCCTTGACCATTCTGCTGCTACAAACTACAGGCCCCTCGCCAAATGATTCATAGAAATACCACTGGTGTAAAAAAAATTGTTATTTAAGAAGTAACAAACAAAGGAGTTATGAAATAAAACAGATTTATTGTTAATTTAAAACAAAATATACCACATTCATTCATTCATTCATTCATTCATTCATTCTATCTCTCCTGTGCATCTCGTTCATTCTAGTCCTAGAAAGATTTTCATCTTGAGCATTTTAAAATGAACTTCGAATTTTTTTTTTTTATTCTATCTAAACCTATATACCTTCCCGTTTGTCTCCTAATGTGTAGACACTAAATTAAACATTGACCTATATTAAGACAGAAAATTGGAGAAAAAAATCAGCAGTATGAGACAGCTTAAATTGCACTTATATTTTGATTGTTGGCCCCTACCATAGGCTCCTTCAAAGTTTTCCAAAACCACCATTCCAAATCTTAACCCTTAGTGTTACAATTTACTCTTCACGCATTCAATCACTTAAACAGGATAAAATAAATAATACAAAAATGCTGAGTTAATTTCAAAACAATCACAACCTCCATCTGATAAAACATGTATTAAATGAACAATCATCTGGTCTGCTAAATTCACTGCAATTTTTCAAGTAAACATATTACTTGAAGTCAAGATATTTAAGTTTCTGTCATTTTGTTATTTCTATAATACATTGTCCTTTATTGACAAGTTTGACTGTAGTTGAAAAGTGGTTTTAATAGGAGTATATTTTGGTTTTGTTGACATCTTTGTCAGGACATTCCCTTGTTTTGTTGTAATAATAAAAACATCCATCACGACGCATTAATTTTTTAATATAACCATTGTGTGGCCATCTATCTACCTGAAAATAGAAAGAAAAGAGACTTTAATTACTAATTAATGAAACAAGCTAATCAATATTAAACACTGAAAACCTATACTCCCAAGCCATTTTTAAAAGATTTGATCCTTTTTTTAGTATTGTTACAGTTTTATGTAAAAAAAAAATGATCTAGCATTTTACAGAAGTTACTTCAAAAATAAGTATAGCCTGTGAATCAATCTGCAATAAACAAATACAATGGACTATAGAGTAGTATATCATAAAATTATGTTCTGTTATTTAATGTGATCTCTACCCTGGAGTCTCCTGGATAAAATTCATCCGCATTCATTTATATAGCAAAGTTTTTACTCTGTATGTGTATATCTATTATTGGTCCTGTATACAAAGTAAGGACAGAGCTATCTTATTAACCATGCCACATCCCGTCACCAGGATGGAATTAGTGCTGGGGCATGGATTTTGTGCTCAGCTGTTTAGACAGGGCCCATCAATGTGAAGCACCATGAGTTCTATGATCTGGTAGTCTGGGTGTTCCCCCATAAAAATTTGTGGCAAAACCCCATCAAGATATTCATCCTTTTGATTTTGCACAAAGACACTGTATATTAGTATATCTCGGCTGAACTTAAGAAAGTTTGCTGGGGCTTAATTCTCCCTTGCTAAGACCCAGCCCCCATGGACCCCACCCTAACGACGGGGCTGTATCTAGTCTTAGTCACTCAAGAAAAGAGCTTTGGTCATTATTTTTTGTTTTTTAGCTTTTATACAAATCACATTTTGACATCAGGTGTAAAATTAAAGACTTTAAAAACACATTATTAGATTTACTTACAACATCAGCTCTTTGATATTTTAAATATTCCAGTTCATCTCGATATCCAGCCAGTTGAAATCTGTAAGCTTCTTCAACTTGTTCAGTCCATTGACTGGGTCTCATCATGGATTTTGGTTGAGGGCTTAATGAACTCATATCTAATAAACTTAGTCTCTGACGAGATGAAGGCATCTGAAATAAAGGAGAAACATTGAAGGCTACCAGTAAGCTTATATGGAATTAATTTAAACTCCACAGAAAAAAAAAAGAAGTAAAGAGTCACCTTTGAAGAGTGACTAAAGTATTTTATTCCTTCGTCATTGAGTTCATCGGGTGAAGTAATTCAGAAAATAAGTTTCAATCAATATCTTTATTAATACCATTTGCTTGATAAAGATAAGAGTGCCATCTTTAAAATGTTATATTTGTTAATTAAACAGAACCAGTAAATGTTATCCATAATTAGTGTATTATTTGTATAATTACTAGATGCCTCATAAGGAAGTAACATCTTGATATTTTACTCTTTCTATGACATCATATTCCTACTCTTGTTCATTCAATTCTGAATTCTTTTTGTTTATAATGTTACATTAGTCTCCAGTTCTTCCGTAGGCCTAACGATGTTAACCTATGATCACAGACATCTGTGTCTATCAATAGTCGACTCTCTCTATAATAATAGTACAGTATAGATGCCTGTGACTATGATCTTAACCTGACCGGACCTGATCTGATGCATAAAGATCTCTAAGAATCTAGATATAAATGAAAGAAGATACAAGTAGGCCTATATCAAATATCATAAATAGCAGTGAATTAGTCACAACAATCTCACCTTGTTTGTTTTTAGATAAAAAAACACCGATAGAATAGACCTTATTAATTAAAGTCTACCGGGTATGTCCTATTCTAAAACTTTTTCCTAAAAAGATTTATTGTATCCAATCCAGCCCATTGACTTCACAGTGTTTTTTTTTTACAATGCCAATTGAATGCTTAGTGACACACTTAATACCCTCGACCTAACAGGGCAAACAATGTGTCAAGACGCGATTTCAATCAGATTATTGTAAACAACAAAACGATATGTTTTTCATTAAAACAGATAATCAAACAGTTAAAACGCCTAATTAATCCAATCCCTAATCGAAATCTGATTAACCGATTAAAACTGTGTTAAAAATTACTCACCAAATGTTAATTACTTTTAAGGAAATCAAATTTTTAAAACAAAACACAGATCGATTTTGTCGTGAAATGAATTATGATGTTATTATTGTTGCTTAACGACATGACAACAAACCAGGACCGGGCCGAAAGAATTTTCTCGACTCTCATTGGCTAAAATTCCTGGGGAGATAACTCAAGAGTTGAAATAGACACAATTCACCAGACGTAAACAATAACAAACAGTTTGACAAACTTCTTTTGACATTTTTCACTTCAATTTAGCTAATTATTTCGTGTGAAAAATGAGTTAATTACTGTGAAAAGAGACATTTTTATAAACTGTGAAATACCAATATGAACAATTCCAACTCTGCAGCGTTCTTTTATGAACAAAAAAGTCTGCGTGAAAGACCTAAACGATGCAGAAAACTACCCGAGGAATTACCAGAAAGTTTGAAGTTTGCTCATTTGAACCCAAAAGTTGCTGCTCTGTTGGCAAACAAGGAGCGACAGCAGAAACAAGAAGAATTGAACAATCTAGCCAATTTGGAAAAACATGGCGTCGATATTGGCAACACATTTCAACACCTGAAGAATCAATTTGATTCTGTATTTGTACAGGATGAAGACTCGCAAAGATTTTTATTTGAGTCAGCTAAAGGGTCATCTGGCACTATTTTGGAGCAACTGTCTCAATTATTGTGGATATTTAAAGATGTTCTTAGTCCAAATCTCATCCCTAAAAGTTTGGAGTATCAGTTGATGATGTCATATAAAGAATTGACTGCTGATGTCATATATTTACCACGAGACTGGCAGACAGTTGCAATCAGAGAACAATTCCTGAAATCTAGTGAAATTGGCAGTGAAGATGGACATAAAAATGTTGTAGTTGATAATGAAGCAATACGTCAGGAACAGTCTGTAATCACAGAGCATATTCCTGCCAAGAAACGGGGAAATAAAACGAAAGTAGCGCCTGGCCACGAAGGTGATGATGTTGAGGTTAAACATGAGAAAACAACACGACGCAGTGACAGTAAAAATTCTACAATGACATCAAGACACAAGAATCGAGTTGAAAGGACAGGAAGTGCCTCTAAAAAATCCCCTGCACCTGCTAAACGTAATATGGCATCTAATCATGGACCAGATTCCCCAGAAATGAGAGGTGGTCTTCCACATCTTAACACGTCTGTGATCCATTTTGAACTTTCTTCTAAACTGTGTGAAGATAAAGGTTGGATAATGAATAAAGGAGATGAAATGCAGATTGAAAGAGAACAAGTTTTGGAATGGTGTATTCAAATACTACAAAAATCTTTGAAAACAATGGCCACACAGAAGGAGAAAGATGTAGTTCAAGATAAACCAGTACAAGTTCGTTACTATGGTGATACACGTCTTGAAACATTGATTAAATATCGTAGATCTCCAGTGAAACCAGAGGTCAGTCCAGCCATCCATGGTGGAAGTCCACGAATTCCAAAGATTAATGATGATAAATATGAAGGCAAGAATTTGATGTTGTCTGGTCATTCTGATGGGACGTCTGTTGTCTATTATCCATCTGGACGTCCAGCTATAGTATACAGTTCAGCAAGTCATGGTCGTCCAGGATATTATACCTTGGTTTATGATGATGATGAGGATATGAAGATGTTAGGGTGTTTCACACCAATTGGTACTGGCTGTGTTTATCATGATAATGGTACTGTTTGGTTTCTTGCTACATCAATCGGAGGTCATTTGGCAGATAAAGATGGTCTTGCTACTAAGAAATGGAAATGGCCAACTGGCAATGTCAAAATTCCAAGTACAATTAATCTACAACTTAACAAAGCCATTAATTTCCGATGTGCAGCCTTTTCTCAGATGTCCATTGTGTACAATTTTGAAAAAGAAAGTGCTAAATTTCTTGTGAGTGCCTCTGCTGAAGCTGTGGAACCAAATGCTGATGAAAATGATCAGCTCCTTACTACATTCAACTTCACATCAAATGCTGCTAAAGAATTGTTAAGATTATCATATTCCAAATTAAAAATGAAGAAAAAGAAAGATAAAGATAAGGTGAATGGAGAAAGTGATCCAGATATTCCCAAACTGTTAGAAATTCCAGAAGTCACCATGTATGGGACAGACGCTGAAAAAGATTATGCCAAATTGTTACGAAAAGGGAAAGGTTTGATTGATGATTGGATGGAAACATACAGAACTGCTTTCGGTTTCAGCTCTCCTTGCCTTCATGGTGTCCAAGATGTACCAACCAGTCGTAAACGTTATTCTCAATCAGCTAAACCATCAAGGTTTGAAACAGAATCAAGGGGAGTAACTCTTGGTATTGGTAACAAACAACCATATGGATCATCTCGTATTCCTTCAGCACCAGCGGGTCATACACGAAAGACTTCAGCTCTCTCTTCAAAAGCTGGTGGAGGTTCTGTTAAATTTGATGATGATAAAGGTGACAGCCATGGATGTGGTGATGGTAGAAAGATGTCCCTATCACTGACATCACTATCTGCTGCTGTAGCTGATGTCACCAAATTGTTCTCTCTGTCTTCATCACCACGTAGCAGAATCCATTCAGCTCGTCCAAAATCTTCTGTTAAAGAACCTATTGATGAAGCTACAGTTATCTCTACTTGTGAAACATGTCCTGTAGTACTGTGTCAACGTTTAATGGGAATGACCCATGTCAACTGTCGTTGTAGCCGTTACCTTATTCCAAACATCACGGACATTGAATTTGATCTATTTATATCTAAAGTTGTGCCAAATGCCCAATTACAAGTTATTACTGTGGTTTCTTCATTGTTTCCTAAACGTAATGAAGTATTTGAACTTTTAGAGAAAATGTATACGAAGCAGAATCGAAATCGCATGAGACCGTGTCAACAGTGTTATTGTGATACATTCAGACTGTTGAAGTATGACATCAACACAGCAGCTGATCATTCTGACCACACCCAGCCCTTACTGCTTACCAGACATAATGCTGTTCCTGGAATGATCCTGATCTACTCAGACGGCAATCTTCTCTTCTGTGACAACATCTTTAATGGATATGGAAACACCAAGAAAGATTTCAAGAAACAGATAACAAAGTCCAGATTGGATGCAGTTCATGGAGTATTCTTGCCAAAAGATTTCCGATTTAAACCTTCTCAGGGTCATCATGGTCCACGTTCTGCTTGGGGTGGAGAGATTGGTGGAGCTGGTGTTGATAGTTATGGAAGTCCTGGTACATCTAAAGATGATGTCATCCTTCATAGACCATCATCAAGTTCCACATATGATGGTCAAGTACCTGATAAATTGAGAGGACTAGATGCTAGTAATTTTATTTGTCTAAGTTTGTCCCCCATGGGGTATCGTCCTAAATCACAAATTGTTAGAACTCGACATAAACTTCCAACTGCTGTAAAATAAATTTTAGATGGTTATTAAGTCTAGGTCATAATACAAATTAAATGATATGTTAGGTTTCATTGCCAAAAATTAAATTTATGATTATGCTTTTTATCTAAGGCCAGACCAATTTATTTCTAGCTTTATAGATCTGAAAAAAAAAAACCCATCAGCTCTTCGAAAAAAATCATCATCAGAAACTATTGATAAAATATATGATTTTTGATGAAATCCTGGCTTTTTTTCTCTCACCCTTCAAGCACCTCCTTCTTTTAAAAAAATCTGTAAAACAAGAAAATAAATTGGTCTGGTCTAAAGAAAGAAATTGTTAGTGCTATAGAATAAGTAGACATACATTTGAATATTCACAGATTACATGCATTATTTATGAATGTGGCAGATCCTAAAAAAAAAGTAACCAATGATTGATATCTTGTGTAAAAAAAAAAAAAGTGCCTGATCAAATTTCATTTTATAAGTGTGCTTAACATTTGTTGTATGCGTATACTTTATAGGTACAAGAGCTTGGTTATTGAGCTAGTGGTTGCCTAGTAGAAAATTAAATTTAGCACATTGGTAAATATTTTTAAATGATATGTATGACTTAAGGTTAATCCTTTCAATGTTCAAATGTTTGCCTAATACTATTTATATATTGTAATTTTAGTTGTTTATGTTTAGAAGATTATATATTTATTTTTGTTTGTTTATTTGTAAATACTGTTAAGATGTGTGTAGAATTTTTAAAGAGAAACTTTGTTATTTTAGATATAACCTTATAAGTTATTACAAGATGGATAAAGATAAAAAGTCAAAATCGCTCTTCTGCTTTCACTTTTAAAGGAACAGGTTTGCCATTTTTGGGGGTTGATTAGAGTCTTGAAAATACGTTGATAGTCTTCAGAAATATTAGATATATACCTCATACCTCAAATTTTACTTTCTATTTCTATAGATGTCTGTTCTATATATCACAGAGTGTCATAAAATGACAAGTCCATTTTAACATTCAAACACGGATAATTCTAGACACACATGGATTTGAAGGCTCAAATTTGAGCTGTGAACAGAATGACTGTTTTCGTTTCTGTCACTTAGGTACGATTGGTCAAAAAAATGACGCATCTGTTCCTTTAATATGGATATACATACTGTTTTCTTTGATAACTGTGCCTGTATGAGCAGGTCTAAGGTCGAATTAATAAATGTCATATCCATATATATCTTGTGGTACCTTACATATGCCTATTTCTTTATGCCCCATAGACATGTGTCTGAACACAACATTCAGATATAAGTTATTCAGCGCTTTTATACATATTTTTATATGTATTCATGAGTCATTTAGGCCTTAATAGATATCTGTATTATTTTATTCCATTTTGGAGCCTTGGACTATAGACTTTCACCAAAATTGAAGACCTTAGATTTTGTTACTATTTCATTTCATTTTTAAACCTTAAACTAAAGTATCAGATCACCCAAATAGTAGGCCTTAATAGATATCTGTATTATTTCATTTCATTTAGAAGCCTTAGACTACAGTATTAAATCACCAAAATTGTAGGCCTTAATAGATTTTTGTATTACATCATTCATATCATTTAGAAGCCTTAAAAGATATGTTTTTTTTTTGTTTCATTTTGGAATCTTGGACTATAGTATAATATAATCAAACATATATTAAGCCTTAATAGTTATGTATTACTTCATTTCATTTAGAAACCTTAGACTACAGTATAATTTCATCAAAATTTCTCCTGGGTTTTATTGTATAATAGGAAAAGTATACTAATAAATTATTTTGAATTATTTGAGTTAGAAATAGAAAATAACTGAATTAAGAAGCCATTTTTTTTTTTGTATATCCACTGAAGATGTTCTTGATGGCAACATTAAATACTGACAGTAAATGACTAATTATTTTCATTCTGTACGAATACATGTTTAAATTGGTTCCTTCTTTTAATGTGCATCAGAGGCACCATGGAATGTTAAACTTTTGCAAATATAAGATTAGTATCCCTGATGGGCAGAATAGTAACTATCCCATAACCCAATGTTCATAAGAGAAGAAACTCTGAATGAATTTTGAATGCATTAAATTTTATGGAAAAAAATGTATTTGTTGCAAATTTGCAAGAGTAATAACTCTGCTCTTCATTACCAGAAAGTGCTCAAATTGATTTGTTAACTACAGATTCATAAGTTTAGTGTCTAACAACAGACAGACATGGGTGCCAACATATATATATATGTGTTTGTTGTTTGTAAAAAAAAAAATGCAATGTGTGTGGCATAAATTTGATTCCAAAAAATATAAAAAGATGTCATCACAGAAAATTTTAAAGAAAAAATATCTTAGACTACTTGTCCAAACACTTTACACATCTGGAAATTGGAACGAGTAAATACAGTTTAAATTCTTTCAATAGTCCAAAAAGCATGCCATAAATATAATTTGTACAGATTTCTCGCCAGAATATACATAACATCATCATTAATATTTTAAAACAATTACATGAAGCATCCAATAATTTGCTTTTTAAATTTTCGAATTTGTCAAACAGATATTTTTGTCTCAATATCTCACACAATTCAAATATTATAATAAAAAGGGCTGGGCCATATACCAGTATGAAAATCCATACCGGTACAGGAATTTATACTGATAGTGATATCAATACCAAAATATGGCCATATGGCTAGATCGCCAGATCTGTGACCAAAAACAAGAGACTGTAAAGTGTTTTTCTAAATTTTTTATGTGTATTGGGGACACTGATAGCATTAATTTCCACCATTTCAATTTTCTATCTTTTGTGGTTCCTGCAATTCCAGTAAAACTAAGTCTTTGATGACATCACTAATTGCGAAATATGCTTGTTTCACTTAAGGCCTTCTGACATCATCAGACACTAAGCTTTGGTGGAATTGCAGAAACCACAGAAGTCTGTTAAAAATTTGAAATGCTGCAAATTGAGGCTATCAGTGTCCCCGAAAGACCAAACTTTTTTAGAAAACCTCTTTACAATCCCTTTAATATTTGAAACAGCCTAAATCAACATAAATTGTAATATCTAAAGTTTGTTTTCAACATGTTCCATTCTATGTTTCTTTAACCAATCTTCCACTGAAATAAAAATTAATTACAAAGTTACTTTTCATTTGATAAATGTTAATCTTGAAATAAGGGACGAAAAATGCTCAAACTATATTTAACCTAGTAGTAGCACTGTGATGCCGAAAATATTTTGTGCATTTCGTATACAGTTTGCAAACCTTGTCACGACTAATTGAATGTCATTGCAGAGACAAAAATCATACAAGTGTCAAGCTGGCTTTAGAGACTCATCTTTATTGCATTAATAAATCATTGCACGCCAGAAAAAAAGAATCTGCAATCTATATTTTTAATGAGATGAATTATAAATAGCAATAAACTGATTCCCTAGGATGACTCTTCACAATCTTAATCTGCTACATGACTAGGTTATGACAGTCAAAACCTGATAATTCTTACCTTGACAATCACGACCACAGTAGAAACGACATTCAGTAATACCTTCTTCTTGACATCTACAAATATAATAATAACCATATTAAGTTCTAAAAAAAAACTTTTTACCATATACCATAATTTCAGTTATAAATTTCCAGAGTAAGGAATAGATTCCGCATTAAACAGTTGTCAAGTATAGGTTTCTCATGCCATCACTAGTCTAGAATTGATGCTTTATGTTAAAAGAAGTCTAGAATGGAAGTTGAATGTCATTAATAGACTAGAATGGATGCTTTATCTTAACAATGGTCTAAACTGTCAGCATTGATCTCAAAAGGGTCAGAAACTAATTCCCACCTCTAATAGAGAGTAGGTTATCAGACAAGTATTTACCTTTGGCATTTTTTATATGTTCTGAAAACTGGTTCTGTTTTATTACAGTTGGTACAGATTCTCAAGTTCTGTTCCTCATCTTCACTTGAACTATCAATACAGTCTTCTTCGCTTGAGCTCTCAACTTTCACTTCAGAGTTTGCCACTTTTGGTTTACTTGTCAGCCCGTTTGATTTACTTTTTCCTTCTTTAGATTCATTTCTTGATATTTTTGCTTCATTCCCCTTTACTTTCCTTTCACCAACACCTGAACCATCTTCTTTGGTTACTGAATCCATTTTTTCATCATCATTGTTTTCTTCTCTCCTGCTTCCCACTTTCATTGTTTCTCTTTCAAATTCTTGATAAATTTTATCAACTTGTTCTCTGTGCTCTTTAATAATGACCTCTTGTTGTTGGGATACTTGTTTTTCCAGTACTTCTCCCCAATATTCATAATTTTTTTCATTGCCCCGCGCCATTTTCATATTATGCAGGACCTCTTCTAATGATTTGGATATCTGAGACAACTCTCCCTTATGGGAACAGACTTTCTCTGAACATTTATGAGTTGTCTGTTGAGAAATTGCGATACTAGTTTTAGATTTTCCATGTTTGCGTGATTTTCTGATAATGTTTACCTCTACTGTGGATGCTTTACCAGAAATTCCAGAAGCAGCTTCACGTTCTAGTCTCCTTCCTTCTTCTGTTTCATGAAAGGCTTCAGTTTGTCTCTGTAATATGAATTTAAAAACATCTCTTCCACTTCCTTTAGATCGAATTCCCCGTTTTTCTAATTTCAACCAGGCCTTCAGGTACATGTGATCAATTTCATCCAATCCTGGATAGTAATAATCATCTGGGTTAATTTGGGATTTATCTTTCTGTAATATTTTTAAGTCAATACATCCACGAACAACCTCAATACTGACTAGTTTCTTTCTGTTCGGTCCGTCACATGGTCTTTTTAGATCTGAAATAAAAATTTGGATTTTACCCTTTGCAACAGCAAAAACATAGCTAATTGGATAGCTCAATGGGTTTCCAGTTTGTTTGTGTTTTACAAGGAAAATAAAGTTAGTGAATTTGTTCCCTTTGCCAATTATGTTGACCATGAGCTTGATTGACACTGCCACATTTTAAATGTTTGTCAAAATATTTTGTAATTTGTAAACAAATTGTCCTAAATTTTCGTATCATTTTGATCACACTTTTTCTCATATTTCAACTATAAAGTTTCAACTTACTGATTTCACAGTATTCTCGTACTCTTTTAACAATAGCATAATATAACTTCCATCCTTCTATTACTTCATTAGTTAACTATTAATATATAATACATTCTACTTTTATTTGGTACAAGACAGGTGGTATGATATGATAAACAAGTTTTACTTTCAGACTGATGTAAATAAAGCCGTAAGTTAACTCATGCGACAGCTATCAAATCATAATGCTGTTATGATAGCAATATTCTGTAAATTCTACTTGCTAGTCTTAGATCATACCTCTTGGTATTGATCTTTCCAAGATTATCCATACCCAATACCCATTTAAGGGTACTAGAGTTCTAACACATGCCAAGATTCCATAATCACCACTTGTTAGATGTAACCAAGCAAATGATTTTTCAATGTTCTAAGCCACTGTACTACAGAAGCCCTCTAATTAATTGCTTGTCAATATCATCTATATTATGCATATCATACTCTTAAAAATCAGACGTTGCCATGCAGTAAAAAAAAAGCTGATCAAATGGTAGAGAAAAAGGCTGATAAAATGAAATAAATCTACCTACATTGTGATGTAATGTTTTAGTCTCATATTTGATACTGAATTCTTTCTCTGTTGACTTTATAAAATCTCGAGTCTGAAATACAGTTAATATACAATATATTCATCTTTAAGTGACAATTGAGGGTAGAGATGACATTAACTTTGTGTTAACAAAAAGTAGAGGACTGTATCTTTAAGAATCTTTAGCAATATAGTTTATTTCATTGTTGTACAACATATAGTTCATTGATACCAGCAACCAATAATATTTGTTCAATGGTTCAGGGATTTTTATCCTGTCTTTATCACCTTATTCCTACATATTCAGAAATATTGACTGTCAAGAGAACTATAGAATCAACAAGTTATTGAATAACATTGGAATGTGAGATAAAGGTTTTGGGTCACAAACAGTCAGGGCAGGAGAAATGTACAGAAGTGAACACAAATATACAGTCAATGTCCTTTAACATAAAAATATAAATTTGGACTCACTTCTTCATCAGAATCAACATTTAAATCAACCTGTAAAACAAGGAAATCTGTCTTGAAGTCAAAATTAATTTAGTATTTGTCAACTGCAGGCAAGCATCTGATTATGTTAATGAAGATAGGCAACTAAATGTAGTCTGCATTTGAGGAAATTTTGGTAAGACAGTCTACTCTTTTCAATATCCAACTGTCAAGGAATCTTTAACATGCACAATCTGTAGAACACAAGGTCTTGGTTTAAAGAGATATGACATTTATTAGGCCATAATAAAATTGGCTTGAAAAAGATTCTTGTATGTGAATTGAAGCGTTGCTAAAATTAAAGGAAGGAGGAGTATATCCATTATATTGCTCTTATATATTTTATGTTCTTTCTACTTCTAAATATATTTCAAAGATCAAGGTACACACCTGTCTTTCTGAAGCTATTTCCCAGTCAGTGAGTAGCTCTCGATAGGGTATATTTTCTGTTATTATTATAGTTATTCCTGTTAAACAGAATTCATCTACTACACTAGCAATAACATCATCAACATGTAATATCCATCCAGGACACGATCGTGATTTACGAGAACAAATATACTTTAATACTGTAATATAAAGGGTATAAATATTTCATTCAGAATTGAAAGAAACTCTATGGGTTCCTTATATTTTAGTGTCAAATTAAGCAAATTATTTGATAAATTGGTGTTTCTAATCAATTATCATCATGTTCTTATTGCATTAATCAAGGGTTTTAACCAGTCATAAATGGCCATGTATGTACAGTCTGGATAAACAAAAAAAAGTCTTTTTGACCTTTCTTGATCGGTCACTCAAAAGTCGATAACTACTAACTAAAAATGTTTTTGAAAATTTTCCCAACACTTTCTAATGATTTGTTTAAGCAAAAAAGATCATTAGAATAATCAAAAAACAACCAAAACCAGTATGATAAAACCAACTTACAACAATCCATAATAGATCTAACAACAATTTCATTCTGACCAGCTATTTTCAGAGTAAAGTTGGTGAAGGAACTAAATTTCTCTTTCTCTTCTATCTGGTAATTTATTACAGCCAGACACCAGCCTTGACCTTCAGCCCAACCAAATAGCTGTGGTAGATGTTCTAAACCGGATATATCCATTTTACCATAATGATCATTTTTATTAGGTTTATTAACTGCTACAGCCTTCTACAATAATACAAATATATCGAGGTAGATCAAATATATTAATAAGGAATGATAACAGTGTTATATTAAGCCAATCCAAGTCTTTGGACCCACTTCTTAATAATAATTATGAATCTTGGGTAGCGAAACCCAAAGAGGCTGTCATACATGTTTTGTTCTATCTTATTCAAAATAATTATCAAGAAATTGGTCCTACAAGCATCATGCTTTGATTGGTTAAATGTTAAAATGGGTAGTGAATGTGGTAGAAAATTTGTAAGATTACAATGGAGATAAAAAAAATCTGAAAAAGTAAGAAACAAGATTTCCACCAATAGTAGTGATAAGAAAGAGAAAGTATCCCTAAATTTGACTATGTTTTCAGATATATGAAAACTTTGTTCTGTCCGAATCTTGATTGAACTCAAGGAACAATTTCTATGAAAAGTGCCCGAGTAAATGAATACTCACCACATCCATAGGAACATAAATAACTGTTTCTCTACCCTTAGTTTTAGCACTGTAGATCTTCACAACTTTCACTCCAGTAGAATTGGGGCCTGTAGATTTATCAGCAGCAGACTTCTTGGACAGACCATATATAACACTAGTATCAACTTCAGAATCTGCACCAAAATATTTATAACGCCTTTTACTAGGTCTGTTAACTGTTAAAGATGGTTCAACATTTGGATTTGATGCATCAAAACCTGCTAATGATATACTTCTATCATCTTTGTCAAGGTTTTCTTCCAGGACAGGAAGTTTATCATCCAGTAAGTCATCTTTCTTCTTTTTATTCTTTCGCTTCTTCTTCTTCCTCTTCTTATTCTCATCTTCTTCACTTTTAGCCAACATTCGTTCTTTCTTTTGACGTATCTGTTCACATGTTTTACATTTATCATCTGCTTTTCCATAGCAGATCTTGAGAAAATAGATAAAATCTCGAAACTCATCAATATTCATACCTTCTCTCCAATCAGAATGTAGAAAATCTGGATCATACAACGGGTTCTCTTCCTCTTCAAAACGAGGGTTTCCAAACATCCACAGTGGTAAGTGTTGAGGTCCTTCTGGAGAACCAGCTTGTTTTTCTTTTAAATACAAAACTCCACATTCTTCTATACAGGATTCACACATCAGCACTCTATTCAAATATTCTGTACTGTCCTGGTCATCATTGTCCTCTTGTTTGATTGGTTCTGGTGGTGTCCAGTAAGATTCATCATCAGAGTCTTGGTTCTCTGCATCCATCCAACGTATCAAACATCTACACACAGATCCACATAGTCTCATATACACAGGAAACAATATATAAACCTGATAAAACAGAACAAATCAAACCAAATCATTGACTGGAAGAAATAAGACTTAAAAAAAATTTAGTCTCAAAGAGGGAGGAAACAATTTAGAACTATGGAAGAGTCAGGAGATAGTATGGGTTAAATCTATTGTTGAAAAACTTACAAAAACTTAGACTTGCTTAGACTATATAGTCAGTAAGTAAGTAAATACAAAATCTAGTCAGTAAGTAAATACAAAATCTAGTCAGTTAGTAAGTAAATACAAAATCTAGTCAGTAAGTAAGTAAATAAATACAAAATCTAGTCTGTAAGTAAATACAAAATCTAGTCAGATAGTAAATACAAAATCTAGTCAGTAAGTAAGTAAATACAAATCTAGTCAGTAAGTAAATGCAAAATCTAGTCAGTAAGTAAATACAAAATCTAGTCAGTAAGTAAGTAAATACAAAATCTAGTCAGTAAGTAAATACAAAATCTAGTCAGTAAGTAAGTAAATACAAAATCTAGTCTGTAAGTAAATACAAAATCTAGTCAGATAGTAAATACAAAATCTAGTCAGTAAGTAAGTAAATACAAATCTGGTCAGTAAGTAAATGCAAAATCTAGTCAGTAAGTAAATACAAAATCTAGTCAGTAAGTAAGTAAATACAAAATCTAGTCAGTAAGTAAATACAAAATCTAGTCAGTAAGTAAGTAAATACAAAATCTAGTCAGTAAGTAAATGCAAAATCTAGTCAGTAAGTAAATACAAAATCTAGTCAGTAAGTAAGTAAATATAAATTCTAGTTAGTAAGTAAACACAAAATGAGGTTATCTTGTAGTATCAATGCACCCAAAATACCATGAAGAATCATATTTTTGACAAACCTCACAAGAACCCCCAAAACTAGCCAATGACAATAATCCAACACCAATATATCTACAAACTTGAATTAAATTTGGTAGACTTTCAGTACTCATATCATTGTATGCCTGCTTCAGACAATTTTGGAATTTGAAAACATCACTAACCTTGATGTAGGAGACTTTCTCACTGGGTGGGCCAAAAAACATCCTAAATATATCTCTGAAATTAAATTATCTGAAAGATATAGAGTTTTACACTATTCTTTTCTACTCCCTGAGCTAATGAGAGAAACTGTTTCTTATTCTAAATTCCATCTGCCAAGAATCATTAACATAGACAGCCTGTAGCTCACAAAGGCTTGGTTTGTTGGCCCATCATAGACATCTTTTCCATAACTTATTACTCAAGATAAATTCACTATCAGAATATCTCTTCAAATTTGTATATGACATAATACCAAACCCAGCACACAATTCATTGAACTGTGTGATTCAGAAATGAGAAGTAACAAATGTTACATGAACATCAATCTTTTTAAGTGAAGCTACCATATGTTGATGTCAAATCTCACACAAACATGCAGTCAAAATATGAAACATATTCAAACAATTATAAATAATTCAACCTTACCTTGTGTCTCTACTGTAGAATGGATCTTTGGCTAGAATGAAAAGACAAGATAATGATTTCACAATTTCACATGGCCTAATGAATTATAGTTCCTTACTTGAAAGCTGAATTTATAAATTTATACCATATAATGTTGAAACAAGAATTAGCACCATTCTTTTCCATCCATTTTTGCTGATAACTCTTATAACATGATAAAATATACTTACAGAATTTCTTGGAGTCTAAGTAAGGAAGCTTATCTTTGTTCTGTGCCAGTCTAGCAATATCTATCAGGAAATTCTTAGCTGCTGATGATTTACCTGAATAAAATAAAGAATTAACATATACAACTCCAACCAAAGTTTGATTCTAACTACTGTACCTGGGCATTTTTCAAAAATTGAAAGGGACCAGACATCAGTTTGTATTATAGAACCATATGATTTACTCTTATAACCTACTGACAAAAAAGAAATGAATGGAGTATTACGTCCTACTTTTCTAGAGCTATATGGGCTAATGAAGACAAACCAAGTCATGCACGACAGGACAACAGCGTTAAAAATCTCCAGCTGTCCATGATCTTTCACATGCATATACTGTGGCACACAAGGCTTCAATTTACTATTTTGTCAGAATGACTAGAAGCTTTTTTCCTTGTCAGTCCCTTTCGCTTCACTGACAGGGGGAAAGTGAGTTGAATAATCTAATGACAAGGGATTAATAACTGTTGATAACTTAAAGAATTAAGAAAACACTTAGTATGTTGTCACTGTTATATAAATATGTAGGTAGCTTGTGTATAGAGAACTATGAGTTACTATTTGTGAAAATACCAAATATACTTACTGTCAACAAAGTTGTCATGAATCACAATGAAGGCAAAGTCCATGATGTCCCTGAGCCGTTCTGAATTATACGGCATGTCTTTAATAATACCATATTTGGACGTATAACTTCTAAATGTTATACAGAACCTCGTCCAAAATGGCTTCCCCTACAAATATAAACAATACAGTTCAAAATCTGGTATCTTATTGCATGTAAATGGAGGGTGTTTTATATCATACTATTCTTATGAGGACAGGTGCGCCATTTTTTTCCCAATCGTATCGTAGTCTCAGAAACAGGATTTTTTTCAGCTCAAACAATCAGTAATACTGTACACAACTCACTGTCGAAATTTGAGTCTTCAAATCAATATGTGTCCTGAATTATCTGTGAATGTTACAATGACGACTTGTCATTTTAAGATACTCTGTGAAATTTAGAAAACTGTGTGAACTGTGAAGATGGACTTTTTCTTGCAGAAGAGCATTTTGACTTGTTCAGAACCAGGACATTTTAAAATCCCCATGTTTTAACATAATTTCTGTATTTCTGTCAATGTCTCAAAGACATAGCACCTATAACAGAAACAAATACTTGCCAACCATTACTAAAATTATCACATAATAATAATATTGATTTGCATTAACCATTCACGTGAACATCTTCGTAAAGTTTTCATCGAAAAACAAATTTTCATTCATATGATTGCATTGCCCACAGCTTGAAACAACTGATACCAATCTACAATATTGACTGTTCCAAGTCTACAATTATAAGATTATTTGAAAACTCAAATCTTACCTGTTCTACCCACATGCATTTAAATGTTTCCTTATGTCTCTGGAAAAAATCAAATTCTTGTGGATTCAGTTCATCATTGAATAATTCAGAGTCTGCATCTGACAGACAAATCTTCTTCATGTTGGTCGTCTTAAAATACAAAATAACAATAGGCCTTAAAGGGACAGGTTTGTCATTTTCAGGCGTTGATTTGGATCCTAAAAAACATATGGAAATAAAGTCTTCAGAAGTATTAGAAATGTACAAAAATCACGTAATTCCTTCAACAATACCTCAAATTAGAAATTTCACTTTGTATTTCTATATATTTATAATTTTGTTTTGTTTGTGTATGGCAGAGTCTAAAAATAATGAGGTGATCACATTTTAACACTAAGAATTTGAAGGCTCTAACATAAGCATTCAATAGCGCTTTACAAATTCTTATTACTGATTAGCTAAGCCTTTTCTCACTAACATTATCATATAAATTATTTTGTCAGTGAAAGGCAGTAGGCTATTTAGTTGGGGATTCCAGGGTAATTCAGGGTTTGAAATGTACCTGTAGTTCACACACTGGTCTGTAAATTCCATTTTATGGAAGATTTTTTAAACAAGAATTGGAATATTAGCTTCAAATTTATATTTTTATTATCAAGTCACACCATTTTTAAGATAATTTCAAAATTATCAGACAGTTTTGAGAAAGATCTGCAAAATTTGATTTATTGATGAACCACTAAAATAAATAATTAAATTCTTACATTTTGTCCAATGAATGTTAGTAATGGTGTTTTTCTAAACAAGGTTGACTTTTCTACATTTCTAGTGGAGTGCTGTGTTAGATCAAGTTCTAAATATTTATGTTTGTTTCAAGTCTCCCATTTCTAGTCCAAATTTCATCACTCTGAGGAGAAATTTCCCATATAAATAACTTCCTCATTCAGGAGTGAATACTTCCATATATGAAAAGGTTATTTATAGGCTGTTTCCAATGTATTGCCAATGTTGCTAAGCTAGTACGGCACTTTGAGTATGTTTGTTTTTGACATTTTTTTAGGTCTGTTTTAAGTGTACTTATCACAACTGCAGGAAACTGTCTGACCATGATGACTATAAAACTGCATATTTCATTTTTCTATACAAATATCAACCCCTAGCCTAGCCATTTGGTTTGGATTTGAAATTGAAAATATCTCACTTTTTTGACATTATTTTGATAAAGTAAGTAGACAGAATAATTCAATTCTGAACTCACTGTTTGTGGTGTAGTTGGAAGTGTGCTCAAATATACGACAATTAGCTCTAACCTATATACAAGAAATAAAAATATACAAAAGATGGCAAACTGTTGTCGTGTAACACGTTTTGGGTTTGTATTGTTTTCATTTCAAACAGAAAAAACACAGAGTTGTCGTACCTTAAATATAGGACACAGACCACAGATATTTTCATTTGAGTTCAAGAGAGGGTAATCCGAAATTGTTCTCTACCTCAAACTATTCTAAACTTAACCGATATCTCATTAATTTGTTTGCCGCGTTATGAACAGACATTTAGTTCAAAGTTTGAAAATGATCTTGGATTTGGAACTCTTGAGACGCAAAGATTAAAAGGCTACGACCAGGACCTTTTATAGTTTATATATTCAACGATAATAATGAGTTTTTTGCAATTCACATGATTTCATGAGCAGTTACAAATGTTTTTTTTTCTATCAACAAATATTAGATCCCTATGTATCTGTAATTCCGACAGCAAATGCGATGGTGTACTTTCTCAAGGATTTTTTTTTGTCTTTTTATCACGTTCTTAGTCGCCGTAAGATCGCAAATAGTCGCAGTCCGATGTGTTTATGGTGTACATGTGCTATGTATATCGATGTGTTCTAAAGTATTAAAAATTGAATTGGAGTTCCTTCCCTTTAATCATAGTGTTGTTACGAGTCCTTACGAATCGCCAACTAGTAGTCAACCGCAAGCTACTTTACGATGTATTTACGACAATATCGGGTTGTTGTCATGGATAACTACCAGCAACGTGTTCACGAGTTGTATACTTGTTGCTACGCGAGTCAGTTACGAGTAAGTTAGGCTACAGTCTTTACGATTTTATTATAGTTTATTACCTTTCCCCAAACAGAAAACTATACATTACAATACGTATCTATTCGTAAGGTACTCGTAAATATCACTCGCACAAATCGTAAACTAACCGTAATAGTCTTAAAATCTACGTATTTTTTCAAGTGGTTTACAATCAGTTTGCGTTACTGACGGATAGTTACGAGCTATTTACGAAAAAAATTAAACGGTGGACAATTGAGTCAAAATTTGCATCTCCCTTGACGTATTCATACGAGTGCCTGCAAATTATTGCGAGTAGTTACAAGTTATTTACAGATATACCAGCGAATTATTTACGGATCCCAGCGAATATTTTCGGATTTAAACTGCGCGTTCGGAGAATCCGGAAGAAAAAATGTGTGTGTGAAGGGGGTATTACTAATGATGATAGATTGCTCACCATGTCATAGATGCCACTTATCATTTACCAGAGGAAGATGAGATAACTTGTTGTTCATTTGGGTTTAACAATTTCAGCTCAGTCTTTCTGCAGAGATATTATTCTCCCAATACATAGCGACACTGTAAATATTCCAGGTTTCATGCATGTGTAACAATTTCAGCTAAGCTAGTCTGTATAGAGATATTATGACGTGATGATTTTAACGTGTTTTATCAAGTCAAGGGCAATAACTCTACAAGATATTCATGACTAGGGCTTCTATCGTGCTACAAACCAAGACTCATTTTGCTCACGACACTCAGTCAAGATTGGTTTCTCACTTTTGTGCTTACGTCTTATTGATGGACGGACATTTGGACTACATTTAATTGTAAACTGAATTATACTTTTTTCTATATAGTAGGCTACAAGTATATTGATTTTTCGTAAAACACAGACTGACTTTAGTTGTCTTTCTGTGAATTAAGAGATGAAGGGTGAATGTGTTTTCTAATGTTTTAAAATGGCCGCGAGGGAACTTGAAGTCAGACGATCTCTCTTTATTTGAACTTCAATTGGAACAACAAACAATTGAATGATGTAAAACACGAATCAAATCCACAATGATTTTGAGTTCTCCCTCGATACGACTTCACTCAGCGTCAAATTGATTAAAATCAGGACTGGTTTGTGGCTGTCGGATTATATTCCGCCCATTAACTTCAGAAGAATTTCACGTGCCGTTATTTTAATAACCAGACGAGATGTCATATTAAAATTTCCCGCGTGAATCATAAAAATTGGTGGATGTTTATTCATGCTGTTACACCGACTATAACGAAATAGAGTTAGATAAATAAATAAATAAAAATATCTATATTTTGAATTTAAAAAATACACAAGTGTATAGAAAATTATTTCGAATGAGTTGCTTGATATGACATATTGGGTTGTTTTGTGTATATTCGTTGTACGGAGTAAATTGTTTTAAGGTTCTTTGAAAAATATGAGCATGTACTCGAGGAAAGCACTTTTGTATGTCTCAACCAGTGGCGTTTCTAAGAATCATCAGATTTCGGGCGAGTGGGGGCCACATTTTTATAAAAAAAATCGAACTAGCGATATAAAATCAACAATTAAAACGTGATTCTAGATATAAATTTAGGATAGAATCAGGTAATTATCAGGAATTAGATGAAATATAATTCCAAGTTATTGATTATGATTGATCATTCATCCCAGCTTAAAGCTAACCTGAACAATAAAAATGCATCCCAATTATTTCAAAAATAATAATTAATAATTCACAAAAAGAAAAAGACTTTAAGGCCCGACTTATCGGAAACAGAAAATCTTTTCGATATCCAATAGGTTAGTTTTAAACACTGGGGAGGAGGGGGGGGGGGGGATACAGCCAATCAGTGCGATAACATTCGCAGCCAAATTGATTACAGGCTTTCTGTCGAGGGTTCTGATTGGCTGTATTATCTAGCGCACTATCCAATCAAATCGCCACATTTACAAACTTCCGTAATACAAAAAGGTGGCTATCGTAGTCAAGGTATTCGACGCAGTCACACCTTGACATTATTAATGGGTTCTTATTTTGTGTTATATTGTGTAGCTAATCACAATTTTACTGGTTTAAGTTTATTTTAGTGTTGATATTGGAAGAAGTTTTAAGAGGAACCAGACCTGTTTGTTGCTGATTAGTTCTATATTTTAATGTATACAGTAAACTAGATTAAATCTGTCTGTTGTTTGAATATCAACACTATAAATAGTCAACCAAATCCTAAAACCGTCTCATTTATTTGCATGAAACATTCTATATATCAAAAATAAACTTGAATTAGCTATTATTGTCATGATAAGGTAATCAGAGCAAAGCTATTGCTTTTTATTTTCAGCCATATTAAAGGGACAGTCTGTTTTTTTTTTTTAAATGTAAGTTGGAAATTTGCTTTGCTAAATATTTTGAAAACTGCACACCAAAATCTAGAGAAATGTGTTCCTTGCGCTTAATTTTAGAACATCGAAGCTTATCAAAAGGTTTACGTAAACATTTTAACGTTGCTATAATGTTTTTGGTTGATATTGGAAAACTGATGTACGAAAATCCTAACATGTATAATTAAAAAATGTGCATATTTTCCCTTTCAAAACCTGATAAAATTAAAGGAATTGTAAAGAGGTTTTCTACAATGAATGTAGCTGATGTGCCTCTCTGTGGTTCCTGTAGCCTTATTATAGAAATGCTTAACTGATATGGCGTCACTATTGCAAACGCTGATAAAAATAAAAGTCATAGCAGTATTTGCGATAGTGACATCTTTAAACGCCTACTTTAAGTGAATGATACACCCCAGATGTTCGACTGAAAATTGGAATGGTGCTAATCGATGCTATCATTGTCACCGATACATATAAACAGTTCAAAAATCTCATTACAGTCCCTTTAAGCACTTATCACAGAAAATATATCCATTCAATATTCTGGAGTGCTGGACTGAATTTAATCAAAGTCGGTGTGTGTAGGTAGGTATACATAATTGTTTATTCGAGTGCAAGAAGGCCAATAGGATAGGGCTTCTTTCCTCTTTCCTATATAGGGAAATTAATCATGTTAAATCTAGAAGTTCATGACG